TGCATCATTTTTACAGGAGACTAAATGTAATGAACTAACTGTGTCCCCACAAAGTATGTATTGTAAATATGTATTGTATATCTGTGGTTTTGGAGTCCTGGTGTGGCACTGTAGGATAAGCATTGAACTACTTAACCATAAGGTCGGCAGTTCAAACCCACCAGTCACTTTTGGGAACTCTATACAGAGTCACTATGAGTCAAAACTACCCTGATGGCACTGAACAGCAACAATATTTGTGGTTAGAGATTCATTTCAGTGTGAGTGTAGGACGTGTTTGATGTCAATTATCTTTAAGATATAAAAAAGACAGATTAGACCTAGAGATAGGAAATAGGAAAGACAGACGCCTCCTCACCTGAAATCACCAACGAGCCCAGGAACAAAAGCTGGGAAGAGACAAAGACTCTTCACCAGAGGGCACAGAGAGAGAGAGAGAGAGAGAGAGAGAGAGAGAGAGCGCTTTCCTCTAGAACCACTAATCTGATTTCAGTCTTCTTGTGGTTGGGAAGTGCTGTCGGGTCAGTTCCGACTCATACTGACCCTGTATAGGGTTTCTGAGGAGCGGCTGATGAATTTGAACAGCCGACCTTTCGGTTCAAACCGACCTTGTGGTCCCAAGCACTATCCCTCAATACCACACCAAGACTCCTTGTTGTTGTTGTTAAGTACCGTAGAGTTGGTTCCGACTCATAGCGACCCTGCACAGAGTTTCTGAGGCTGCAAATCTTTATGGGAGCAGAAAGCCTCATCTTTCTCCCACAGAACAGCTGGTAATTTCATACTGGCGACCCTGAGGTTAGCAGCCAAATTCGTAACCACTATGCTACCAGAGCTCAGCTTGAGGACTAAGGTGCGCCTGACCCAAGCCATGGTATTTTCAATAACCTCATATGAATGTGAAAGTTGGACAGTCAATAAGGAAGATCGTAGAAGAATTGATGCCTTTGAGTTGTGATGTTGGAGGAGAATACTAAAAGTGCCATGGACTGCCAAAAGAACCAATAGATCTGTTTTGGAAGAAGTGCAGCCAGAGTGCTCCTTGGAGGCCAGGATGGCTAAGCTTCATCACTCATACTTTGGACATATTGTCAGGAGGGAACAGTTGTTGGAGAAGGACATCATGCTGGGTAAGGTGGAGGGTCAGAGAAAAAGAGGAAGACCCCTAATGAGATGGATTGGCCAGGTGGCAGCATTGATGGACTCAAGTGTGGCAGCGGTAGTGAGGTTGGCTCAGGATCGGGCAGTGTTTCGTTCTGCTGTGCATGGGGTCGCTATGAGTCAGTTCTGACTCGATGGCATCTGACAACAACAACAACACTACCAGAGCTCCTTAGGACTCCTTATAGCCCCTTCAATATTTAGACTTGTAGCCTTTTAACTAGCAAGACCATGAATTTCTCCTTGGTAAAGCCATCCACTTTGGTACTTCTGTTACAACAGCAGTAGGGAGCTGGGCTGTAGACCCTGGGGGTAGTTAACACAGCCACCTTGATGTTATATGGGACCCATGAGTGAAGAGCGTACACTCACTGTCTGCGCTCCTGTCACAAACCAGCATCCAGCATAAGGCTCACGTTCAAATTCTATTATTTGGGCATAAATAGCATTCAAATGTGCTCATTACTACAGTTTTTCTAGAAATGGAAAGCTATCTGGTTTATCCTGTTCTTTTAAATAAGTTACTAAATGGAAAATCACCAGAATGGAGTTCAGTGAGGTCTAGTTCCTGAGTCATTCCAGACAGATGGAGTCCCCAATCTTGCATAATTAGAGGAAAGATCAGAGGGTGAAGGAGCCAAAAGGCAATGAGGTCGGGGGTGGGGGGAGAGACTGGAGCATCATGAAGAGATGCTGCTGGAAAGAAACCAAAGATTTTCTTCCTATGTCTGTCTTGAGAAAATTATATTGTGTTCTTTTGCCTTCTAGGTCACCAGTTCAATCTCACCAACTGCTCCCTAGAAACCCTATATAGGGTCACTATGAATCAGAATCGACTTGATGTCACTCAACAACAAACTAGGAGCCCTGGTAGTGTGGTGGTTAAGCCCTAGACTGAAAGTTTGGTAGTTAGAAGCCCTCCACCTAGAGAAAGATGTGGTAATCTGCTTCTATAAACATTACAGTTTTGGAAACTGTGGGGCAGTTCTACCGTGTCCTACAGGGTCACTCTGAGTCTTAATCAACTAGACAGCAATGACTTCCCTGAGGCTGGTCAGTGTATCATTCATTACCTCCCAAAAGGACACAGTGGTTGAAACAATTGTGAGGCTGACACAGGACCAGCCAGTGTTTTGTTCCCTTGTACATAGGCTCTCTATGAATTCAACCCCACTCAATGACAGTTAATAACAATACAACCAAATGATACAGGACTTGGCAACATTTATACATTATACACAGCATGTCATACGGTTGCTATGAGTCAGAGCCAACTTGATAACAACTAACAACAAAGTCAGCAGCAATTTGAAATACTTGAAGTGACGATATTAAAGCTAACTTTTCTTTTATAGATTTGTTTTTGAATTCTCCCTGTAAGTCACATTTCTTCTTCTAGAGAGTTTTGCTAAGCAACCTAATGGCAAGGAGCTCTGGTAGCGTAGTGATTACGAATCAGGCTGTGAACCTTAAGGTCAGCCGTTGGAAACTACGAGCTGCTCCATGGGAGAAAGATGAGGCTTTCTGCTCTCGTAAAGATTTACAGCCTCGGAAACCCTGTATAGGGTTGCTATGAGTCGATTCCGACTCCACGGTACATAACCGCCATCACCTGAATGGTACAAATGATTAGTTGGCTTGACTACTGGGCAAAACGTTGGTGGTTCAAACCCACCCACTCAGAGACGACTTGGAGGAAAGTCTTGACCATCTGCTTCTGAAAGGTCACAGTCATGGACACCCAGGGAAGCAGTTCCACTCGGCACACACGGTGGGTGCCATGAGTCAGCATAGACTCCACATCAAGTATTAACAGCCACCTTACTGGGACTTTCCACTCTGATGGAGTAATGGCTCTGTCTCAGTTCCACATGAAAAACTCATCAGGACTTCCAGAATTCAACAGATGTTGACTTTTCATACCCAGGTGTGCAGACAGAGCTGGTTACTGAGATGGGTCGGGGGAAGAGATGGCTCTAGGAGACTGCACTTTGGTTTGGGAAAACCCAAATCTTGTGCAGACGTCCCCAAAGAGAACAAGGCATATATATCCATGTATGTAATAGAGTCCTGGTATATATAGTGCTGTAGTCCTCAGAAACCCTGTACAGGGTCACTATGAGTCGGAACTGATTCGACTGCACTTAACAACAACAGCAATAGAGCATACAGGGACACGGTCACGGAAACTATTTAGCCATAAGCAAAGATCACACAGAGCTGGGTTACTGGGCTTGAGGGATAGGGATCATAGCCACGGGGGACAAAGAGACCGATTGGCATAATCCAGTCCATAAAAACAATGTTCTACATCCTATATTGGTGAGTAACAACTGGAGTCCTAAAAGCTTGGGAGAGACTTCCCATCTGGGGCAAAGATGAGTGAAGAAAAGCAAAGCGTCAATAAGACAATTAGTCCAGAGCACCGCTGGACCAGGGTAACCACAACCTCTACTAGTCTGAGACCAGAAGAGCGAGATGGTGACCAGGTACCACACTGGACAGCTCTGACCAGGATCACAACAAAAAGTCCCATACAGATAGAGAGGAAAATGTAGAACACCATTCAAATTCATAAAAAAACAAAAACAGATGCACTGGACTGATAGAGACTGGTGAAGCCGCTGAGTCTGCGCTCCTGACACCTTTCAGACTCAAAACTTGAACCCACTGGTGGAGACCACTTTCAGACCAACAAAAGGCACATCTGTAAAGTGAATACGAACACCTGCAGGAGATTACTCCTTAGAGCAGTCAACTATAGAGGAGACCAGAAGGGCAGAGAGTTTTCCCAAAAGTACAATTCAGAAGGCAAGAAGGGGCAGGAAAGCTGAGAGAAGGGAAACAGGGATCTCAGGATGGAAGTGGGGTACAGGGATGGGGAGAGTACCCAAGTCACGGGAAACTAGGTATAAACTGTTGGATGGGAATTTGATTTGCAAACTTTCACATAAGCCACAATAAAACATTAAAAACAAGAAGTACATGGCATCTCTGTGATAGAGACATTTGCCCAAGAACACATTGTCCTCGACAACTTACCTAGGCACACCTGCCATCAATGGAACTCACACAAAGTACGGGCTGGGCATCTGTGAAAACCCAGAGAGCATCTTATGGACTTGGGCGATACATATATGTTGTCTTAGGAGTCCTTAGGCAGTGCAGACCAACTTGAAGTATGTAATCAGTGTTGTTGTTATGTGCCGTGGAGTGGAATCAGATCCAACTCATAGCGACCCTGTACAGGGTGTCCGAGGCTGTAAATCTTTACAGGAACAGAAAGTCTCATCTTTCTCCCGCGGAGCAACTGGTAGTTTCGAACTGCTGACGTTGCTGTTTTACACTACGCTGATTACACTACGCTATCAGAGCTTCTTGTAATCGGTGTTACTGAAGCATATATATATAGAAATCGTTGGTATCTGTATTGCTATGTGTAGTCTCAATAACAACAAGAAGAATAAAATAAAGTATTAAAAAAGAGTGCAGCCCAGATGCCTCCACATTCTATTTATTTTGGACGGTCAGTGACTAATTCTAAACGTTAGCGTTTCTGACCCCGAGCAGCAACCTAGATTTCTGGTTCCGCAGGCGAAGAGCTGCTGGCGGAGGGAAGAATCCGGCACCGCTAGGACCTAGCGGGAGAAGAGTCCTCGCGGAGTCCGGGAGAAAGTTAGGAAGGCGGTAGCATCAGCGCAGACTGGCCAATCAGAAGCCGCGTGCGTCAGCCAAACGCCAACCGTAAGCGCCCTTCCCGCGGGTCGCTGGGCTTATTTAAAGGCGCGCTCAGCGAAGGTGGCATGATCTTGAGTCGGGGTTTGTGCAGCTTGCTCGACATGGCTAGTCTCGTACTTAACACTGGCGCCAAGATGCCCATCCTGGGGCTGGGCACATGGAAGGTAGGCACCGAGGGTGCCCGCGGCCGGAGGGGTCCGGGGTGACCTCATTCAATCTTGCGGTAGACTCCGGGCCTGGGGGGCCTCGCTCGGGTTCCCGGGCCCCACTCCAGACCCGGTTTCCGGTCCCCGCGGTCGCGCCGGCTGGCTGGGAGCTCACCTGGCGGCGGGGGTCAAGCGCTGGGGCTCCGGCGTGGCGGCCGGTGGGCACTCGGTGGGCGGAAATCTGATCGGGGTCGGGGAGTGGGGCTCTGACCCCGAGAGAGGGGAGGCGTGGAGTGGGCCCGCCGTCCCGTCCCGGGTGGGGGAGGTGGACATCCGAGGTGACCAGCGTCTCCTTCAGGCCCCTGGAGGGACCTGGCCCTCCTCAGAATTACCTGAGACGGATTCCGTTATCGCCCTTGGTATAATCAATCCACCTTCACCGGCTCCTAAATAGCGTCATCCAGTGACCCTATAGGACAGGGAAGATCTGCCCTAGCATGGCGCTGTAGGCTCAGGACTGGACCGTGAACCACGAGGCGGCACCAGCTGCTCTTCAGAAACCCTGTACAGAGTCGCTGAGAGTTGGGATCAAAGCAAAGCAGACCATCTTCTTTCTTCCGCCAAGCAGCTGGTGGATTGGGACCTTTCTTTTGGCAGCCAATGCTTAACTACTTGCCACCAGGGATATTAAATGAGGGGTGTCAGTTTGTCCCCAGGATCAAGCCTTCAGGGTTGGGGAAGAGCTGTTGTTTGCAGCCCCCTAATACCCAGGTATCCCCTCCTCCCCATACCTTCCCATCTCCTCTTGTATTGGTATTCGTGAGCCTGGGCTTCCCTGCAGGTTCCTTCCTGGTGAGCAGCCTGCAGTGTTAAAACCTCCTGTGCAACTGTGGCGCAGTGGGTTAAGCGTATTGCTCACTTCAAGGTGAGGGTTCAAACTCACCATCTAATCCTCAGGAAAAAGATGGAGCTGTGTGCTTTCCTAAAGATTTATGGCCTCAGAAACCCTAAGGGTGACTAGTTAGCGGAACCCACTCCTTGGCAATGGGAACTACTGCTGACAGGCCTCCGTCTACTCCCACCCGTGGTGATCCCACCTGCTACAAAATAGAACTGCGCCCTAGGGTTTCCGTGACTGTAATCTTTACTGAAGATTTCGAGGTCTTATTTCTGCGGTGCCACTGGGTAGGTGATAAACATAATCCTTTATGTTCGCAGCCCAGAGCAAACTGTTTGGTTTTAAGATCCCACTTAGGGATCTTAAAACCACTTCTCCATGCCCTTAACAAGTGGTTAGGAATGAAACTGATAGTCCAAGTGTCTCTAAATTAGTGGGCACCAAAAGGTGGCATTTGAGGAGATGAGGTAAAACCCAATATTTTTAAGCTGCTTATAGTATATTCTATAACTATGACCCAGTTTCCCTCTTGTGGGAACTTTGAATGTGGGTGTAGGCCCTGGGGATTTACACAGACACTAGGATGGAAAAGACTGTGAAATGGGATGAAGCAGGACAGAGGATCCCCACCTAAAACCTGCCGCTGAAAACTAGTAGGTGCTGGAGTGGGGGTGGGAGGGCTTCAAAAATTCATGGAAAAACATCCATTAACTTTTTTTTTTTTTTTTTTAATGCTTTATTGTGAATTATGTGATCGTTTGGACATTAGCTTCATGTTGATCCCATCATATATCGTTTCATTACCATGGTTACAATTCCCTCCATGCATCATCAACCAACCAAAGGGTATACATTACAAGCCTACCCACCTCCCTCCCGCCCCCCCCACAGATTCAAAGTCCCCAGCTGCTCCATCTCTCTACATCATCATCTCTGCTCCATTCCTGGCATCACTGCTTCTCTGGGTAGGGTCCTGCTCTCCGCTTTTCTCCCTTGATGGTCCCAGGGACCTCCGCTCTTAGACTGAAAAGTTAATCACTCCCTCCTTAGCTACAAAACTTCCAGCTTTATATTTTCAGCCCTCACAATCAGTCCTGATACTAATTATTCACTATTGTATTACAAGAGACCTATCCACATCTCCTTTCATCAGCCCCTCCTAGACAGATTGGATACTACTCAGTGGAGATTCTACCTTCCTCCACGCCCTCTGGATCTAGGTTGCCTCTTGAAAGGTTGTAAGCCAGTCACTTCTTGCCTTTGTAGCCCCCCGCCCCCCATTCTGGGTAGCCAATGTCCAAGTTACCCATCCCTGCCCTCTCCGTGTGTGGAGGGCGTGGGAATGATCCTCGCTGTGAAGATTTGTTCCCTCTGTTGAGCTACTGCTTCTATAGGTATAGGTCCCATTATCTTTTTAATTCCATCTTTTCTACGAACTTTTTGAAGCCCCCTCATATACGTTGAATTAGGAGCTCTGGTTGCTGGTTGCGTAGTGGTTACGAATTGGGGTGTGAACCGCAAGGTCAGCAGTTTGAAACTACCAGCTGTTTGACAGGAGAAAGATGAGGCTTTCTGCTCCCGTAAAGATTTACAGCCTCTGAAACCCTGTACAGGGTCGCGATGAGACGGAACCGACTCCATGGCACAACAACAACATATACGTTGAATAGGAAAAGTTGCCTCACACAAAAAATGTTTCTTGTCCAAGTCGCGTCCGGACGGTGCTATGTGCCTCCCGTGGAGTCTGGTGGTGGTTGTGAGTGTGTAGTTGAATTATGACCGTGAGACAGAGTTTAGTTCCACCTGTCACACATTATTCTCTTTAAATGGAAGTGAGAAGAACGTTCTTAACAGCAAGTGCAGTTGGTGTCATCCTGTAGCACACAGACATCACGTGTAACTGGAACAAACATTTCACACACTACTCTACCTAACTGTATAGAGGGTGTGTACTGGTACGTTATTCTGTGTCTTAAAAAAAAAGATGGTGAGGCCTCAGAAATTAACATCATCGCCTGTCACTTGACAATCACTCCTCTGTAGTAAGTTGTTGTTGTTGTTGTTAAGTGCCTTCGAATCGGTTCCGACCCATAGCGACCCTGTAGTAAGTAAGGAGTGGGAATTTCCAAATCCAAACTGGTTGCCCTCGAGTCTGTTCCGACTCAGAGCAACCCCAGGTGTGTATCTGAGCAGATCTGCTCCATGGTGTTTTCTTGACTGTCATCTTTATAGAAGCAGATCACCAGACCTTTCTTCTGCAGTAAATGGTGAGAGGTTTTTGAACAGGCAACTCACAAGTTAAACCCACTGCCATAAAATCAGTCTGACTCCTAGAGACCCTTTATAGGATTTCCCAGACTAAGTCTTCCCTGGAGCAGACCTCATCTTTTTCCTTTGCTGTTGTTGTTAAGTGCCGTGGAGTCGATTCCGACTCATAGTGACCCTACATAGGGTTTCTGAGGCTGTAAATCTACAGGAACAGAAAGCTTTATCTTTCTCCCATGGAGCTGCTGGTAGTTTTGAACTGCTGACCTTGAGGTTGGCAACCTGACTCATAACCACTACGCTACCAAAGCTCCTTTCTTTCTCCTTTGGAGAGGCTTTATCTGGGCATGTGGGAGGTGTTTCTCCTCCAGGCAGATTCATCTCTCTATTAGATGTAGCCTCCCAACATCAAGTAACCAGGAGCCTTTAAAAGTCTCCTGGTATGGCCAGTGCTCTGTAAGAAATGCTTATTTTAGGCCTAGCTTGAAAAGCCTTTGGTCTTCATGGTCACTGTAACCACACACATTCACACACACACAGAATCTTGGAACAGAGGTAGGACTGTATTTCTCCATCTTTTCACCCCACCCCACTCTTAGCCCCTGAGCCTTTTGAGACACTTTTTTTTCCTAATGCTTTCCCCAACCCCATGGAATTATAAAACCACAGATATATTGGATATGAGGGGGTTTCAAAAAGTTGGTGGAAAGATGGAATTAGAAGAAAGTGCCCGTTCCCATCCTGGAGGGCCACAGAGCAGTGTAGTTGTTAGGTAGCTCAGAGTCCATTCTGACTCAGGTGACCATGTGCTGGAGTATGCCTACCTGGGAGGGTTTTCTAGGTTGTGATGTTTGGGAAGGCAGATCATCAAGCCTTTCTTTTGTGTAGCCCCTGGATGGGTTGCATGCCAGAGTTTGTACCATCAGTCCGCCTGAAACCATTGCAGTAGCTAAGTTTGTTTTGTTTATTTACAACCCCTTACCCCGCCCTTGGACCAGTATTACCCTAGTTGAGAATTCAGTGAGAGAAGCAAATCTGCTGCCTTCCCACAGTGGGCCAGCTTTGAGGGCCCAGCTCCCAGGCAGGGCTGTGGAACTGAGACCAAGCTCAGTTTTTACTGCCTACCTCCGTTTTGCTCTGCAGACCCCAGCCCCTACCTCTCTGCCCTGTCCCCTGGCCACATCACCAGCATTGGGGTGGCGTGTTCAGGGCAGATTTGGTTAGGAAGCGAACAGGAGGAAGCTTGTGTGTTTTTTTTGCCAAACCTAATGATGAGTCTGGAGTCCTGGTGTGGTGCTGTGGGTTAATGCGCCAAACTGCAAAGCCGTCTGAACTGCAAGGTCGGCAGTTCAAGCTCACCAGCCGCTCCTCGGAAACCCTATACAGGGTCGCTAGGGGTCGGAACCGACTTGATGGCACTTAACAACAACAATGATGAGTCTCGAATGTGTTTTCAGTATGATAAGGCAGGTGAAAGGATCCATCTTCAGTGATCAGCCCTGTGCCTGGGAGCAGCAGATGATGTGACAAAACTGGGCAGAGTGAACGCCTGCCAAGTGAAGGCGGCCTTATCTGCTTCAACTGTGAAAATCACGCTTCTGTGGCTGGTGGATGGGGCAGGGAAGAGCTCATGGAAGCCAATCTGGAATCTGTGATAAGCACTTGACCACAAGGTCTGAACCGCAAGGTCAGTGATTCAAACTCTCCAGTCACTCCTTGGAAACCCTGTACAAGGCTCACTATGGGTCGCAACGGACTTGACAACACGTAGCAACAAGAGCCTCACAAATATGGCAGCTATTTGCTGTTTTTGTTTTTTCCCCATTACACATACATATTAGCTTTTTTGGGGGGATAATTCTTTATTTTTGTTGTTGTTTTGTTTTTATTGTGAACTGAGTGATAGTTTACATGGGAGAACATCGGCTTTACACCATTACAATGATTACAGTCTCCGTGCATCAGCATTCAACAGTATTTGCTTCCATTTCTTCTGTTTTTCTTGTTCTTTTCGGTGGGGAGATGTACACAAACACTCCAGATTATACAATAATTTAACCAACTAAAGGGTACATTCTGCAAGCCTGCCTCCTGGCCGCCAGCACTCAGTCCTTTTCTTTCCATGAGTCCAGAGTCCTCAGCTGCTCTCTCTCGCCATGTCCACATCTCTGCCTCCATCTCTGGTGTCACTTCTCTGGTAGTGTCCCACATTCAGCTCATGCTCATCTCCCTTGATGGTCCTAGGGTCCTCTGTTTCTGGAATGTAAGATTAACTACTCCTTATTTTTGTTACAAAACTTGGCTTTTTTAATGTACATTTTTAAAACCAGTTCTGGCTTTACAGAAAAATTGTCCAGAAAGTCCAGCACATTCACATAGGCTCCTAGTGAGTGACCTATGACCTTCCTGTGGCACATTTGTTCCATTCACAGAGCCAGTACTGGTGTGTGTTTATTGACTGAAGTCCACAGCGGGCAGCACTCTGGGCTTGTACAGGAATGTCACATGCCCTTAAAGTGCCCCGTACCCCACTACTCATTCTTGCCCACGTTTTGGTTCTGTTGTAGTACAGACAGGGAGCCCTCGTGGCATGGCCGGTGAGTGCTTAGCTGCTAACCGAGAATTTAACGGTTGGAACCCAGACCTCTGTGCAACTGTTGGTTCAAACCTTTGACCTTTCAGTTAGCAACCAAGTACCTTTAACCACTGTGTCACCAGGCTCCTGTTTGGAAACCTGGGGACACTTCTATACTGTCCTAAAGGATCAACTCGTCGGCCGTGAGGTTGGGTTAACTATATATATACACAGACAGTCCTTAGGTTATAAAGGTCTGAGTTATGACTGACTTGCCCTTAGACTCCTCACTTTGAACCGATGGAACCAAAATCCCTGAACCCCTGATGGGTTGGTGGTGTGCTGTCTAGTCGGTTCCGACTCTTGGTTCTGAGCTGTAAATTTTTACAGGAACAGAAAGCCTCAGCTTTCTCCTGTGGAGCGGCTGGTGGATTTGAACTACTGACCCTGCAGTTAGCAGCCCAACACATAACCCACTACGCCACCAGGGCAAATCCTTCATCGCTGAACTTTCATTTGCTGCAGGTGCAGCTGTAGATCATGGGAAAGGCTTCGGGCCTTTTCTTGCACTCATCCAGCACTGACCTGTGGTCTTGGGTGGGCAATGCTGAGCTCCCCTTGTGTCTCGGCAGTTTAGCCATGTCTCTGCACTGTCATGTCGTTGGGCCACCCAGCCTTTTCAGACTGCATGTAAGGATCCCTCGTGTCTTTTCCTGGCTTGTAATTCATTTCTTTTTCTCACTGAGGAATACTCCACTGCTTGGATGGAACACCATTCATTCAACTGTTGGAGGGCATCTTGATTTCACAATTGTTGTCAATTGTGACTAAAGCTGTCAGAAATGTTACTCATCTATGTTTTTGGTTGGATATAAGTTTTCAGTTCATTTGGGTAAATATCTAAGAGTAGGATTGCTGGAATCATAGGAGACTTTGTTGAGTTTCGTCAGAAACCGCTGGATTGTCTATCAGAATGGCTGCACTATTGAAATGAAGGTTCAGTTCCTCAGAAGAAAACTGGTTTCCTCAGAAGAGATGAAGCAGTATGTTTTTCTGGGATAGGGAGTTTCTCAAGACTGTGGAGGTTGGTGACCCTTTATCAAGTCTGTGTCCACATCAAAGGTTTCCTTTTTCCTCTGAGTTACCAGCTATTTGCAACAGTTGTGGGGATGGGGCAGTGTTTGTTAGGGGATTGTTATGTGTTGGAACCAACTCATTGGCACCAAATAAAGGTTATCACCGGAGCAGTGTTCTCATGTTTCTTACCCAAGCTGATGTCCCTCAAAAGTGGCATTGGCTCTGTCCTTCCCTTCATTACAGAAGTAACATTTGCTAAGTAGAGAAAATTTCAAGTAGGACAACAAAAAGAATGGAACCATCTCCTCCCCGATCCCCCCTGGGCTCCCACAGAGTTACTATAATGGGTTTGGGCACCTGAAGTTCATGCTTGTCCTTTATACAGTGGACCGTGCCCTCTGCCTCTGGCCTTTCCGGTTGGCACTGTGCTATTCTTGATTGGAAGAATGAACTTAAATCAAACCCATAACCATGCAGTCTCCTCTGATTCATCACGGCCCTGTGTAGGGTTGCCGGAGCTGTAGATCTTTGCAGACAGTCTCCTCTTTCTCCTGCGGAGCAGCTGGTGGGTTTGAACTGATGACCTTGCAGTCAGCAGCCCAATGCCTAACCCACAGCGCCATCAGTGGCTTTGCAGAGGAGTGGAGGGAGGAATGTTTTTCTGGAGGGGGAACTAGCAAGAACTACAGAGGAGGGAGGTCTTGAAAGGAGGATGTGTGAGAGAGAGAGAGACTGAAGTGGGTTGTCTGGGTTGGTGGTTGGCCAGCCTGGGCCTGTGAGTCTAAATGGAACTAGGAGATGGGAGGCACAGCAGTCACCTGTACTGTCTTCACAGAGCAGTGCAGATGTGGCTGCCCGGGCAGTCTATGGGGCCTTTAGGGTTCAAGGAGCACTGGGGTGAGTGGCTTTGTCCAAGGCACGGACAGAGAAATGGCAGGACCCGTTTAAAACACAATGCAGTGTGTGGGATGGGCTTTGTCCCTTTATTATCTGTAAGCCGGGTACTCCCAGCTCTGGTTGTCTACAGACAGCCTTGCCAGGCTCCTGGGGCACTGTGCCTGCAGAAAACCAGGGGAATTGTGGCTGTGGGTGCGGCTCTTGTGGTCCTGCTTCCTGGGTCTAAATCCCACCATCTCTTACCAGTGAGGTGACCTCATCTGTAAAGAAAACAGCATCTGCCTTGTAGGGTCATTGTTGTTGTTGTTGTTAAGTACCGTCGAGTCGGTTCCGACCCATAGCGACCCTGTACAGGGTTTCCGAGGGTGTAAATCCTTAC